AAGATAGATGGGAGGTGTTGAATGGAATTGAAGGATGGGACTAATAACAACTAACAACAAACAATAACAAGATAACTAATAATGTAGGCACGCTGTGTCCATAATAAGTGTATTGGTTGTATGTTGGGAGCTTTTGTGAAGGAGCACAGTTAGAAAGATATGGCATATAGAAGCAAACCGGATGGACATCATGAAAATGATCGGAGAGGTTGAGAGTAGAAGAAGTTCAGGAGAAAGAACAAACAAAATGTAATTATTGTAAAATTGACTGTGTCCATAAAATGTAGATAGTAAGTATAAACTGGAAGTAGAGGCCTAAGCATTGTTGTTCACTAGTTTACTCCAAGTAGGGAAAGGGTGGCGGGGTTGGAAAGTAATAAAGGGGAATATACACTGCTCAAAAAAATTAAGGGAACACTAAAATAACACATCCTAGATCTGAACGAATGAAATAATCTTATTAAATACTTTTTTCTTTACATAGTTGAATGTGCTGACAACAAAATCACACCAAAATTATCAATGGAAATCAAATTTATCAACCCATGGAGGTCTGGATTTGGAGTCACCCTCAAAATTAAAGTGGAAAACCACACTACAGGCACACCGCCCCAACAGATCCACAGATGATGCAATCTCTATTGCACTCCACACTGCCCTTTCCCACCTGGACAAGAGGAACGCCTACGTGAGAATGCTATTCATCGACTACAGCTCTGCATTCAACACCATAGTGCCCTCTAAGCTCATCACTAAGCTAAGGATCCTGGGACTAAACACCTCCCTCTGCAACTGGATCCTGGACTTCCTGACGGGCCGCCCCCAGGTGGTAAGGGTAGGTAACAACACATCTGCCACACTGATCCTCAACACGGGGGCCCCTCAGGGGTGCGTGCTCAGTCCCCTCCTGTACTCTCTGTTCACCCATGACTGCATGGCCAGGCACGACTCCAACACCATCATTAAGTTTGCCGACGACACAACAGTGGTAGGCCTGATCACCGACAACGATGAGACAGCCTATAGAGAGAGAGAGAGTGTGTATATGTATATGTGTATGTATGTGTGTGTGTGTATGTGTGTATATGTATATGTGTATGTATGTGTGTATATATATATATACAGTGGGGAGAACAAGTATTTGATACACTGCCAATTTTGCAGGTTTTCCTACTTACAAAGCATGTAGAGGTCTGTAATTTTTATCATAGGTACACTTCAACTGTGAGAGACGGAATCTAAAACAAAAATCCAGAAAATCACATTGTATGATTTTTAAGTAATTAATTAGCATTTTATTGCATGACATAAGTATTTGATCACCTACCAACCAGTAAGAATTCCGGCTCTCACAGACCTGTTAGTTTTTCTTTAAGAAGCCCTCCTGTTCTCCACTCATTACCTGTATTAACTGCACCTGTTTGAACTCGTTACCTGTATAAAAGACACTTGTCCACACACTCAATCAAACAGACTCCAACCTCTCCACAATGGCCAAGACCAGAGAGCTGTGTAAGGACATCAGGGATAAAATTGTAGACCTGCACAAGGCTGGGATAGGCTACAGGACAATAGGCAAGCAGCTTGGTGAGAAGGCAACAACTGTTGGCGCAATTATTAGAAAATGGAAGAAGTTCAAAATGACGGTCAATCACCCTCGGTCTGGGGCTCCATGCAAGATCTCACCTCGTGGGGCATCAATGATCATGAGGAAGGTGAGGGATCAGCCCAGAACTACACGGCAGGACCTGGTCAATGACCTGAAGAGAGCTGGGACCACAGTCTCAAAGAAAACCATTAGGAACACACTACGCCGTCATGGATTAAAATCCTGCAGCGCACGCAAGGTCCCCCTGCTCAAGCCAGCGCATGTCCAGGCCCGTCTGAAGTTTGCCAATGACCATCTGGATGATCCAGAGGAGAAATGGGAGAAGGTCATGTGGTCTGATTAGACAAAAATAGAGCTTTTTGGTCTAAACTCCACTCGCCGTGTTTGGAGGAAGAAGAAGGATGAGTACAACCCCAAGAACACCATCCAACCGTGAAGCATGGAGGTGGAAACATCATTCTTTGGGGATGCTTTTCTGCAAAGGGGACAGGATGACTGCACCGTATTGAGGGGAGGATGGATGGGGCCATGTATCGCGAGATCTTGGCCAACAACCTCCTTCCCTCAGTAAGAGCATTGAAGATGGGTCGTGGCTGGGTCTTCCAGCATGACAACGACCCAAAACACACAGCCAGGGCAACTAAGGAGTGGCTCCGTAAGAAGCATCTCAAGGTCCTGGAGTGGCCTAGCCAGTCTCCAGACCTGAACCCAATAGAAAATCTTTGGAGGGAGCTGAAAGTCCGTATTGCCCAGCGACAGCCACGAAACCTGAAGGATCTGGAGAAGGTCTGTATGGAGGAGTGGGCCAAAATCCCTGCTGCAGTGTGTGCAAACCTGGTCAAGACCTACAGGAAACGTATGATCTCTGTAATTGCAAACAAAGATTTCTGTACCAAATATTACGTTCTGCTTTTCTGATGTATCAAATACTTATGTCATGCAATAAAATGCAAATGAATTACTTAAAAATCATACAATGTGATTTTCTGGATTTTTGTTTTAGATTCCGTCTCTCACAGTTGAAGTGTACCTATGATACAAATTACAGACCTCTACATGCTTTGTAAGTAGGAAAACCTGCAAAATCGGCAGTGTATCAAATACTTGTTCTCCCCACTGTATATATAACATGGGGGATTGGAAGTGATGCAGACAATTACATTGATGGAAGTTACAATCTATCTGCAATATTAAGCTGATCTACCCCCAAATAATAAAAAAATCATAATAATAAAATACAAATAAATATTAGGACGAGCAATGTCGGAGTCCGGAGTGTAAATATATATATATATATACTCTGGACTCCGGCATTGCTCGTCCTAATATTTCTATATTTCTTAATTCCATTCCGTTACTTTTTAGATTTGTGTGTATTGTTGTGTATTGTTAGATACTGTACTGTTGGAGCTAGGAACACAAGCATTTTGCTACACCCGCAATAACATCTGCTAAATATGTGTATGCAACCAATAAAATGTGATTTGATTGTGTTGTAGTGAGAGCATTGTGAGTGACTACTAGGTCTAGTCTTCTTTCCCATCATTAGACTGCAAGAGGGCAATTCATGGGGGAAATAATAGTAGCCATGCTTTCCTTTCATCATCTCCTTCTCACTGGCCAACCTCTCTTTACCTCCCGCCCCTTCATTTCTCTGCTCTCTCATTGGCTCCGTCCGACATGTCTATTCTGTCAATCATCCCCTCATATTGTGGTGTTTTGGGAATTAACGCTTGGGTTCCTTAATCCGCAGGGTAATCCGCCCAGAGTGATATTGAAATGTAATCTTCATTTCTCTCCTTCCCAGGCATTTAGGATCTATTTATAGCCCCAACAACAATCTTTTAGTAGGATCAGGACCGCACTTATACAGAGGGAAATCACCCAGTCTTATGCCAAGTTGAACTGGGACCAGTTAGTATATCTGTCTTGATATATCTGAGTTAGTCTTGGACGGATGTTCTGATCTAGGGTCAGGTCTTATGGGATGTCTGGAAAGATATGTAGTAGGCGTGGGTGGTATCCAGATTGTCATACCTTCATATTGACTTTGTGCCTTACCGGGATATTCAGTAATACCGGCACTGAAAACAAGGGGCGCTATTCTCAAACCGCACTGAGCCTTTGTAATCCGAAGGTTAGCAATGCTAACAGGTATATGTAAAATCTCATAGAGAATGCAAACTAAATGCTAACGGGCACATTGCAAAAATGTTATACAGTCTCTGACCTAAAGTATTTGCAGGACAGACATCCCAGCTCATAAAGTTATGCAAGTAACAAACAAATTCTACTCACAGTTTGTTACACGCACAAAACAAATATTAGACAGCAAGGCTCTTGATCCAGCAGGGGATTCTCTGCTGTTACCAAGCGAAAATGTATTTTGGAAGAAGCTAACCACTTAGCTAGATAGCTAACTAGCTACTAAATTAGCAAATTAAATGCTTAACATCAGAGCATTTAGCACATTTTAGACAGTTAACTTAATAGTTATTAGATATCTAGCTGACAAACATTTAGTTGTGAATTCCATACTGTAACTAGATCAACAAGGCTCCGGTCTCTAGTCGTTGTGTGCTCGTAAACAAACACCACTCGACTGGGGACTGTTGGTAAGCTTCATAATGAAAAATGATGTGACAGTTGAAATGAAGAACGCAATCTTTTTATCTCCTAACGTATTGCACAAGTTGACTTAAGTAGCTACAAATATTCAAATGTATATAAAAAAAAAACTTCAAAGAAATAGTTTCAATGGTATTGAAACTATTTTCTAATATCCTGGTATACGGTATATACAGTTACCACCCAAGCTTAATAGGTAGACTAGCCATGCATAGATCATAGCAATGCCTGACTGCTGTTTTGGGGACAGTTGCATTCAACGAACAGAATCACACACCACACACCAAGCAAACACACACACACACACACACACACACACACACACACACACACACACACACACACACACACACACACACACACACACACACACACACACACACACACACACACACGAATGCACACACACACACACACACACACACACACACACTGCTAGGTTTTATTAATACCACCAGGCCTACATAGTAAATCCTGGACTGGCCCTAGTCCACCACCATCGTGACACGGCACAAATTCTAACCTCCAGTACTGGCTTTGATATACTCACCCCGTCCAGTGTGTGAGTAGCCAACACGGTTTCACAGCCAAGAGAAGGAGGGAGGGAGGGAGAGAGAGAGAGAGAGAGAGAGAGAGAGAGAGAGAGAGAGAGAGAGAGAGAGAGAGAGAGAGAGAGAGAGAGAGAGAGAGGAGAGAGAGAGAGACGAGAGAGAGAGAGAGAGAGAGAGAGAGAGAGAGAGAGAGAGAGGGGCTCCATTAGGTTATGGACCTAGAGGTACACCAAGTCACTTCTCTCGTTCTTTTTTCTCTTTCGTGTCAATCCTCCATTTTGTTTTGAAGTTGTGTCCCCTCTTGTCTTCTTCCTCAGAATGGGCTCAACGCGTTGCACCTGGCAGCTAAGGAGGGCCACGTGGAGCTGGTCCAGGAGCTGCTGGAGAGAGGCTCGGCTGTGGACTCATCCACCAAGGTGGGTTCCCTTAACACTCTACCGTATGTGACGCTAGCACAGGTAGGTAGGCTATTGATTCATCCACAACTGAGTAGAGTAAGACTTGTGAAGGACTTAGACTTTTGGATTGAAATCAAATATCATAATCAAGTGAAAGTACTCCAAAGATGACATCAGGTTTTGTTTTTCTTCAGCGGTGAAATCTGATTGGTTGAGGCAACTGTGCATTGTTTTGGTTTGGTTTGGTTTGGCTTGATGTTTTACTTTCCAACTGGGATAAAATCTTTCAAACAACCCAAAAATGGGATGCATTTCTCGGAAAAGTCTGCTCGTTCATGGTATCGGTCTCCAAATGTGGTGCCCAAAACCTGGATCAAGTGTAACACACGGGGTTAACCAGGTCAAAGTCCTGAAATGGCTATAGTCAAACGCTTGCCCTACATTAACCTGACTCTTAACCTTTTCACAGTGAGTCTATACTACCATACCCAGGGTGGTCAGCCTTATCCCACTGCCCAACACCCAATGCACTGCAACCTAACTGTAACCTAATGCTGTCACATGACTGTGCATTCTAGCTTCAGAGTACTGGGGTGTAGCAGGCAGGAAAGAGGATACAGCTAGATTACATTTAGATGGAGGTACTAATGCCAAGCTGTGGAAATGGAGAAGGTCTATTCCTTCTAAGCAACTTGTTTGGGTGTCCTGTGACTTGTTAAATGTTGAAACGTAGATTCAACACTTATACAGTTGGTGTTTTTGCCTCGTGGTTGGTGTTTGAATGGCTGGCATGGTGCCATTTGAGGTATTTTTTTGTATTTTATTAGGATCCCCATTAGCTGTTGCAAAAGCAGCAGCTACTTTTCCTGGGGTCCACACAAAACATGAAACATGACATAATACAGCTCAAGGACAGAACTACATACATTTTTTTTAAAGCACACGTAGCCTACATATCAATACATACACACAAACTATCTAGGTCAAATAGGGGAGAGGCTTTGTGCCGTGAGGTGTTGCTTTATCTGTTTTTTGAAACCAGGTTTGCTGTTTATTTGAGCAATATGAGATGGAACGGAGTTCTATGCAATAATGGCTCTATATAATACAGTACGCTTTCTTGAATTTGTTCTGAATTTGGGGACTGTGAAAAGACCCCTGGTGGCATGTCTGGTGTGGTAAGTGTGTGTGTCAGAGCTGTGTGTAAGTTGACTATGCAAACAATTTGGGATTTTCAACACATTCATGTTTCTTATAAGAAGAAGATGTGATGCAGTCGGTCTCTCCTCAACTCTTAGCCAAGAGAGACTGGCATGAATAGTATTGATATCAGCCCTCTGATTACAATGAAGAGCTAGATGTGCTGCTCTGTTCTGGGCCAGCTGCAGCTTAACTAGGTATTTCCTTGCAGCACTGGATCACACGACTGGACAATAATCAAGATTAGACAAAACTAGATCCTGCAGAACTTGTGTCAAAAAAGCAGAACATCTCTTTATTACGGACAGACCTCTCCCCATCTTTACAACCAATGAATCTATATGTTTTGACAATGATGGTTTACAATCTAAGGTAACGCCAAGTAATTTAGTCTCCTCAACTTGTTCAACAGCCACACCATTCATTACCAGATTCAGCTGAGGTCTAGAACTTAGGGAATGATTTGTACCAAATACAATGCTCTTAGTTTTAGAGATGTGCAGGACCAGTTTGTTAGTGGCCAACCATTCCAAAACAGACTGCAACTCTTTGTTAAGAGTTTCAGTGACTTAATTAGCTGTGGTTGCTGATGCGTATATGGTTGAATAATCAGCATACATGGACACACATGCTTTGTTTAATGCCAGTGGCAGGTCATTGGTAAAAATAGAAAAGAGTAGAGGGCTTAGAGAGCTGCCCTTTGGTACACCACACACATTTTACATGTTTAACATTAGAGAAGGTTCCATTAATGAAAACCCTCTGTGTTCTATTAGATAGATAGCTCTGAATCCATGATATGGCAGAGGTTGAAAAGCCATATCACATATGTTTTTTCAACAACAGGTTATGGTCAATAATATCAAAGGCTGCACTGAAATCTAACAGTACAGCTCCCACAATCTTCTTATTATCAATTTCTTTCAACCAATCATCAGTCATTTGTGTCAGTGCAGTACATGTTGAGTGCCCTTCCCTATAAGCATGCTGAAAGTCTGTTGTTAATTTGTTTACAGAGAAATAACATTGTATTTGGTCAAACACCATTTTTTCCAACAGTTTGCTAAGAGCTGGTAGCAAGCTTATAGGTCTGCTGTTAGAACCAGTAAAGGCCACTTTACCATTCTTGTGTAGCGGAATTACTTTGGCTTCCCTCCAGGCCTGAGGACAAAGACTTTCCTCTAGGCTCAGATTAAAGATATGACAGATAGGAGTGGCTATAGAGTCAGCTACCATCCTCAGTAGCTTCCCATCTAAGTTGTCAATGCCAGGAGGTTTGTCATTATTGATCGATAACAATAATTTTTCCACCTCTCCCACACTAACTTTACAAAATTCAAACTTGAAATGCTTTTCTTTCATTATTTGTTTTTTTTATGGAGGAATACGATGGCTCACTGTTCATTGTTGGCATTTCCTGCCTAAGTTTGCCCACTTTGCCAATGATGTAATCATTTAAATAATTGGCAACATCAAATGGTTTTGTGATGAATAAGCCATCTGATTTGATGAAAGATGGAGTTTAATTTGTCTCTCTGCCCATCATTTCATTTAAAGTACTCCCAAAACATTTCCATAATCCTTTATATCATTGATCTTGGCTTCATAATACAGTTTCTTCTTCTTTTTGTTGAGTTTAGTCACATACTTTCACAATTTACAGTAAGTCAACCAGTCAGATGTGCAACCAGACTTATTAGCCACTCCTTTTGCCACATCTCTTTCAACCATACAGTTTTTCAAATCCTAATCAATCCATGGAGCCTTAACAATTTTAACAGTCAGTTTCCTAACAGGTGCATGTTTATCAATAATTGAAAGAAGCAATGTCATAAATTCATCAAGTGCAGCGTCTTATTAATCACATCAGACCAACAAATATATTTTACATCATCCACATAAGAGTCACAGCAAAATCTTTTGTATGATCTCTTATACACTATTTTAGGCCCAGCTGTTGGAACTTTGGCTTTCCTGGATATAGCCACTATATTGTGATCACTGCATCCAATGGGTATGGATACAGCTTTAGAACAAAGTTCTACAGTATTAGTAAAAATGTGATCGATACATGTGGATGATCTTGTTCCTGTAGTGTTTGTAAACACCCTGGTAGGTTGATTAAAAACCTGAACCAGATTACAGGCGCTGGTTTCTCCCAAACATTATATATCCTGAATTTACTCGTCTTGTGTTTAATATCATTTACTTGGTCATGTTTAATTGTGTTTACTGTACATTACTCATTTTAAATGTTTATTTTGACAACACAATAGGCCTACCCCAAACTTGAGGTAGATTGTCACTGAAACAAGTGTCTTGACGTGACTTGTTAATCACTGTGTCCTAATTAAAAGCATTGAGGGATTAATCCCAGGCTGTTGCTGGTATGAGGGATAACTCTCCATTATCACTGGCTGTCTGTGTCACAGCATCATTAGGAAAGCATTATCTCTGGCTGTTTGTGTCACAGCAACATTAGGAAGGCATCATCTCTGGCTGTCTGTGTCACAGCATCATTAGGAAGGCATTATCTCTGGCTGTCTGTGTCACAGCATCATTAGGAAGGCATCATCTCTGGCTGTCTGTGTCACAGCATCATTAGGAAGGCATCATCTCTGGCTGTCTGTGTCACAGCATCATTAGGAAGGCATTATCCCTGGCTGCCTGTGTCACAGCATCACTAGGAAGGCATTATCTCTGGCTGTCTGTGTCACAGCATCATTAGGAAGGCATTATCTCTGGCTGTCTGTGTCACAGCATCACTAGGAAGGCATTATCTCTGGCTGTCTGTGTCACAGCATCATTAGGAAGGCATTCTCTCTGGCTGTCTGTGTCACAGCATCATTAGGAAGGCATCATCTCTGGCTGTCTGTGTCACAGCATCATTAGGAAGGCCCCCTCAACTCCATCACTGAGCCATGGGTGTCTGTGGATATGCCTGTCTGTTTGGGTTGTCACACCTCCAGTCAGTGATGGATTGAATGAATGATGATGGGTGATACAATTATGAATAGGAGTGGCTGTAGAGTAATGAGATGGCGGTATGACAGTCATTTGTGTGGTAATGAAAATGTCATAACACTGATGAGGGAGGGAGTAGGGTATAGTTAGTAATAAGAGGTTTGGTCAGAGTGCCAATTATACTGTGCTATTTGGGGGTCTCTTTTTTTCGTGGGACCATGATAAAAAAATATTATGGGTCAAATATATAGTAAACTAAATGTATTACCTTTTAATTTGGCATGAACACAACCAGTCATTATGTTTTCATCTTATTGTCAACAAACCACAAGTAGGCTACCAGCGCATGTTCATCCACTCCAAAATAATTCCAGCATTCAAAGTCTCGACTCGCGTCATTTGATAAATGGAAAGAGACATCTGTTACAAAACACCAAAAAGTGTAATGACATCTGGTGATTGTTTCTGAGTGCGGTTACATGCACACAAAAATGTTTTTTGTTGTTGTAGATAATCAGATTAATATAATAGTTTGATTAAAGTGTTTACATGCTTTGCAAGAATAAACTTTTCCCTAATAATCCTGTTTACATGGACACATCTGAAATCAGGCTACCTGATGGCAGACCACTCATAAGTAAAAATGTATGCACGCATGACTGTAAGTCGCTTTGGATAAAAGCGTCTGCTAAATGGCATATTATTATATATTATTACTGCAGTGTGCTAAATCAGGGCCACACAGAGTGATTATTGATAGTCTTAAACAAATCTACTATGAAAAGTATACACCTCACGCACATAGTTATAGGCTTAAAAAAATAAGACACCTGTACCATGTCAGATATAGAGTTGAAATATATTACATTTTGAGTTTGCATCCCAATATTACGCTTTATATACATCACAGAAGACTGAAATCTAACAAGCTGTTTGACATAGAAACAGTGGATTTTCGTCGTAAAAATAATAATATATGTATTAATGATGGGTGAAATTATAAAAAATATTAATAACATTCCACCCCATGAGGCCAAAAAGGGCGCTTTTGGTCATTGACTGCAGGAAAGGGCTACGGCGTTTACATTTTCTAATATTTCGAAAGATTGCTCAGAAAACCAGGTGTTTTAATCGGCGGATGCTTACTTCCATTTTGACTTGACGCCGATTAAGATGAGCAGAGTAAGGTGTTTACATGACTACTGCGTAATCGGCCTACTGCCATAATCAGTTTAATATCTAATTATTAGTGTGCATGTAAACTTACTCATTGGGTCTACACTCTTGTAGCCTGAATTAATTGACGTGTCTCGCTTTCAAAAGGACCTTTTTGTAGAATGAAAAGTTGGGACACCTGAAAATGGCTGAGATATGGGACTGTCCCGGGATGTGCAGCCACATGGAACAAAAATCATTTAAACCATGACACAGAGGTGGGGATGTTCATTTAATTTGGAATATGCTTTTATTTTAACATGTACCACTGTAGCAGTACAATTTGCATTTTAAACAAATAGGAGAATGGCTAAATTAGCATTATTTAGAGGGGGACTCATGTCTCATTCAGGGGGTCTGAGACCCCTCCTGGGCCCCCTGTAATTCGCACTCTGGGTTTAGTATGCATGAAATTCAAAAATGGACAATTCAATATTAATAGTAATATACACTACATGACCAAAAGTCAAATTCTCATTCCAAAATTATGGCCATTAATATGGAGTTGGTCCCCCCTTTGCTGCTATAACAGCCTCCACTCTTCAGGGAAGGCTTTCCACTAGATGTTGGAACATTGCTGCGGGGACTTGCTTCCATTCAGCCACAAGAGCATTAGTGAGGTCGGGCACTGATGTTGGGCGATTAGGCCTGGCTCGCAGTCGGCGTTCCAATTCATCCCAAAGGTGTTCGATGGGGTTGAGGTCAGGGCTCTTTGCAGGCCAGTCAAGTTCTTCCACACCGATCTTGAAAAACAATTTCTGTATGGACCTCGCTTTGTGCACGGGGCCATTGTCATGCTGAAACAGGAAAGGGCCTTCCCCAAACTGTTGCCACAAAGTTGGAAGCACAGAATCATCTAGAATGTCATTGTATGCTGTAGCGTTAAGATTTCCCTTTCACTGGAACTAAGGGACCTAGCCAGAACCATGAAAAACAGCCCCAGACCATTATTCCTCCTCCACCAAACTTGACAGTTGGCACTATGCATTGGGGCAGGTAGCGTCCTCCAAACCCAGATTTGTCTGTCGGACTGCCAGATGGTGAAGCGTGATTCATCACTCCAGAGAATGCGTTTCCACTGCTCCAGAGTCCATTGACGGCGAGCTTTACACCACTCCAGCCGACACTTGGCATTGCACATGGTGATCTTAGGCTTGTGTGCGGCTGCTCGGCCATGAAACCCATTTCATGAAGCGCCTGATGAACAGTTATTGTGCTGACGTTGCTTCCAGAGGCAGTTTGGAACTCGGAAGGGAGTGTTGCAACCTAGAACAGACAATCTTTACACGCTACGCGCTTCAGCACTCGCCGGTCCCGTTCTGTGAGCTTGTGTGGCCTAGCACTTCGCAGCTGAGCTGTTGTTGCCCCTAGACTTTTCTACTTCACAATAACAGCACTTACAGTTGACCGGGGCAGCTTTAGCAGGGCAGAAATTTGACGAACTGACTTGTTGGAAAGGTGACATCCTATGACGGTGCCACGTTGAAAGTCACAGAGCTCTTCAGTAAGGCCATTCTACTGTCAATGTCTATGGAGATTGCATGGCTGTGTGCTCTATTTTATACACCTGTCACCAACGGGTGTGGCTGAAATAGCCGAATCCCCTAATTTGAAGGGGTGTCCACATACTTTTATATATATAGTGTATGTTGTAAGGCCTATACAGGGCAAAGCAGTTCTTGTCATATTCATGAGTCTGAGGTGAAACGTGAACCTCTTGTAATGTGTTTTAACTTGCTTCTTTAGCAACTGAACCCACAGTGCTCCATGTTTTCCTTGTTCTCTGATACTGCTGTAAGCACTGTCTGTGTGTTCTGTCCACCAGAAAGGGAACACAGCCCTCCACATTGCCTCTCTGGCCGGACAGGCAGACGTGGTGAAGATACTGGTGAAGCGTGGAGCAGAAATTAACTCTCAGTCTCAGGTAAGAGATTCAGTAGCAAGGCGGCAGCCATCTTGCTTTCGTCTCTAATCCCTACCAGCTCTGATCAGGATTGCTGTGGCCATACAATGCTGTGGACATATGGGCTAAGGACATACCCTCTTACTGTGCAGTGTGTATATTGTATTGATTGATGCTCTACAAAATGATGTCTTCCCAAAATGATGTTACCTGTCGTTGTCTTCGTTAGGCTCTAAGGTCTAATGTTGTGCTGTTGTGTCTCCAGAATGGCTTCACTCCTCTGTACATGGCTGCTCAGGAGAACCATATAGACGTGGTGCGTTACCTACTGGAGAACGGAGGTAACCAGAGCACCGCTACAGAGGTGAGGGTGTCTCTTGGCAGTCCTACGGTTGAAGCCCCATTTTGACAGCACAAGATGTTACCAACACCTACCATTTTGAACAATTTGTTCTGTTTTGAATAATTACATAACAACTCTATCCATCACCATTGTTTGTCTGTGGTTATGCTAACCTTATCCCTCCCCATCTCCTCCCTCCTCCAGGATGGCTTCACCCCACTGGCCATCGCTCTGCAGCAGGGCCACAACCAGGTGGTGTCCGTCCTGCTGGAGCACGACACCAAGGGCAAGGTGCGGCTGCCTGCCCTGCACATCGCCGCCCGCAAGGATGACACCAAGTCAGCCGCGCTGCTCCTCCAGAACGACCACAACGCCGACGTCCAGTCCAAGGTACCAAGGCTGGAGGGAAGGGGATAATGGTTAAAACGGGCGTCTGTGTCATTGGGTTAGCATGTGTCTTTGGCGCTACGACCATGTGTTGTTAATGGTGCAAGCCTGACGTGGAGTAGGACTGGAAGGGAATAGAATACGGTGTGTTACAGTTTTAGTTTGTCAGTGCTTTGTGGTCTATGGTTTGAATAAGAGTTTGAGTTTGAGTTTGAGTTCATTCATTCTTGCTCACAGATAAAACTGAAGAACCGCCCCCTGGTGTTTATGTGTAGCACTGTATAGAGTGTGCTATTGTCCACAGGTCGTATTGTTGAATGTCACCATTTAAGGGCCGTATGCATGCAACCTTAGGGGAATACTGTGGAAACGGGGTGTGAAGGGATTGGCTGTGGCTAGAGTGAAGTGCAGTTTCCCTTGTTTCGAAGGACAGTAGCCTAAACTGAAATAATATTTTACACCAGGGCTATTCAATAACTGTCCAAAAGGTCATCACTGCAGCACTGCTGATTTTCATAGTTGGTTGACCAGTTAATGTCATTGATTGGCCAAAATCCACTCACCTGGATTACCCAGGTCTGAATCAGTTATTTTGATTGATTGATTGATTGATTGAGTGGTTGACTTTTGGGTAAAACAATTGGCACTGGTTAAAAACAAATTGAAAGTACAAAGAACCCCAGAGGATAAAACATAACAACGTATTTCCAATGTGGTCCTCGACGTAGAACGATAACAGGAGTGAAAACTAGAGAATTAGTGAAAACTAGCAGTGCTGTGATTCACCAGGAAGTGAACAGCCCGAGCTGTAAACACATGGCACGCCAGTAATAATTGGTGTTGTCATTGAACATAACATTGTCCTTGTGTCAGGCCTAATGCTAATGTTATTAAATCATATTACACAATGTATGCAGCCATGACATGCTGTTTGCAGCATGAACCACACGGGAGACCCAGAGGAGGGTGGATGAAGAGTGCAGCACACACCCACTCTCACACACGTGGGCTGCATTTACACAGGCAGCCCATTTTTTGATATTTTTTGACCAATCACGTCAGATCTTTTTACATCAGATATTTTTCAGAGCTGATCTGATTCGTTGAAAGACCATTTAGTGAAACAATTATAAACGCAGCCATGAAACAAAGTCCTCTGAATTTACCTGAGTTAGTTTGGAAATAACCACCATCTTAAAGTCTTACTTTGAAATGTAAAAACACTATAAATTGGCAACTCTCTAGTGAGTTTGGCCTTGTGGCGCAAAATGGCTGCCATGCGTCACTGTTGTGTGTGTTGCGTAGCGAGAGTAAGGCCTGCTCATAGAAAACAGTATTGTGTACAGTATAGCTCTATGGGCTGGCTTCTCTCATTGTAAAACATCTAAAGGTTTTTGGATGAAAGGCGCTATACAGTCTAGCGATAAAGCTATTTTCGAAGAGAAACGTACCGCTCGAGCCACGTTGCCCGTATTTTTTTGTTCTGTACAGCTACCCTGAGCTCTGAGCGTCTGTACAACTGTGTGTAAAATAACTCAATTCTTCCCCTTCCTCATCTCTACTGCTTCAGATGATGGTCAATAGGACTACAGAGGTATAACCACTATGTCTAGCACTCAAACCTTCAGCATAAACACATCACTTTTCTATTTTTGTCTTTTGTTCTTTCACCACTTTATTTCCCTCAGATCTATAGCACTGCATGGTGGCAATAGCCGCGGGTCTTTTCTTGGTCTTTTGATTTTGTTCTGTAATGCTAATTAAAAACTGGGTGGTTCGAGCTCTGAATGCTGATTGGCTGACAGCCGTGGTATATCAGACCGTATACCATGGGTATGACAAAACATTTGTTTTTACCGCTCTAATTACGTTGGTAACAAGTTTATAATAGCAATAATGTGTGCGTAAGAACAGCCCTTAGCCGTGATATATTGGCCATATACCGCACCCCCGCCTTATTGCTTAAGTACGCATGTAGTTTGTCAATAGTTTGTATTTCAGTTAGAAAATTGTTATTTGTTAATTTCATAGGTCTTTTACTTTGTGCGTACTTTAGACTTCCTTTCTTTTTGATTGGTTGAGTTTCTGGAGTTTTATTGATGTTATCACAAGCTCAGCAAGCTTGATTACTGAAAACCTCCAATACATTTAAACTCCAATACAAAATCACCAATACATTTCACACTAAGATTATAGACTTTACATAATGATGCATAATGCTTTTTACAGGGTGTTTGTTAACATACAGAACACCTATATGTTGTGTTGCATGCCATCTATAAATATCATTTTTTTTTAAATCTATTTATATTTTAGATGCACTATGAACTAAATGTATATTATTTGACTAAACATAACAATGTTATTGTTATAATGAGGTCAGTAGCGTCCCATTTTTTTTTCTAATTACAAGGAGCTTGAGATTAGATAAAGAAATAGTAATATTATAAGAAATATATCAATGCAAATATATGTACATTATTATTGCATACAAATATGTTTTTATACAGTATATTATAATCCCCAATACAATGTCATGATATGACATCAATCCAAAAGTATCCAGGCGCTTTGCAGATAATTTGCAGAACAAATAGCATGATGCATCCTGTCTATTTTAATTTGCACCATTATCAGCTATCAGCTTTATATGTGTAATTTTGAATCATCGCGTAGTCTACAATTCTTCACACTTTTGTAAATAATGTTTTCACATTAAATCGGACCATGACTTTCAGAATGGAAAGGTAAGCCAAGAATTTCACAATACTCCAACTGCTCTGATTTCTCTCTGATTGCTCTGATTTCTCTCTCTGATTTCTTATGATTCCTAACATGACAATATGCAGTACAGTGACATAGTGCACTTTGGTGTTAATTTAAAAGATGCAGTCATGTTAATTTTTTCTTTTTTTCTTTCTTTTTTTCTCTGTCCTGTAAATGTGTGGTTAACTAATACTGTGTCAGTTGTTTGGTTGATATTAACAGTCTGTGATTAATGTACGTCTATTTGGTTTTTTTATTTCCTTCAGTTATTCATGATTATTATTTCTTTATGATTTATTTAAATGTAGACACTATTGTTTTTATTTTTGTTCTGACTGTAGCATCACCAGTTGCATGGTGGGGATCTTTCTTAGTGTGTGTTTGTGTGTATGCATACAGTACGGGATTTACGTGTAAGTGCGTAATCGAATCATGATTTTCTGAAACTGAATTTTAAGATGTATTTCCTTCCCTTCATCTCCTTGGTTTCCTCCCTCTTTGATATTTTGACTATTCATTTCCTTTTCTTTATTTCTTTATTTTTGTTGACGTGCTGCTTAATGCGACTGCTGCATGCTGGGTTGGTGGAGGTCAAGGGTCAGACTTTGGGGGTCATGAATGAGGTTACTATCTAAACCACTCCGTCTCTCTCTCCCTCCCTCTCTCTGTGTTCGCCCCTGTGTTACAGAGTGGATTCACGCCACTGCATATCTCTGCCCACTATGGAAACGTGAACGTGGCCACATTGCTGCTGAACCGTGGGGCGGCTGTGGACTTCACAGCCAGGGTGAGTAGTGTACCATGACAGCTACCTTCTGATCTGGAGTCAGCCGTTGTGCCACAAGGTCTTAGGCACCATTACAGCTGCCTTCTGATCTGGAGTCAGCTGTTGTGCCACAAGGTCTTAGGCACCATTACAGCTGCCTTCTGATCTGGAGTCAGCCGTTGTGCCACAAGGTCTTAGGCACCATTACAGCTACCTTCTGATCTGGAGTCAGCTGTTGTGCCACAAAGTCTTAGGCACCATTACAGCTACCTTCTGATCTGGAGTCAGCCGTTGTGCCTCAAGGTCTTAGGCACCATTACCGCTACCTTCTGATCTGGAGTCAGCCGTTGTGCCACAAGGTCTTAGGCACCATTACAGCTGCCTTCTGATCTGGAGTCAGCTGTTGTGCCACAAGGTCTTAGGCACCATTACAGCTGCCTTCTGATCTGGAGTCAGCCGTTGTGCCACAAGGTCTTAGGCACCATTACAGCTACCTTCTGATCTGAAGTCAGCCGTTGTGCCACAAGGTCTTAGGCACCATTACTATAGACCTTTACTGGAACTAGTGCACAGTTTGTAGGTTATAGGAAGGGCTGCCCACACACTGTGCCAACCCTGCACAGAGTCCAAGAGTCATAAAACACAGGAGACTTTAGAACACGTACACACGTACACATGTACGTACGCACACACACACACACACACACACACACACACACACACACACACACACACACACACACACACACACACACACACACACTCTCTCTCTGAGCGTGTAGAGTGTAGTGCTCTTTAGGAACCACAGTCTGCTAATTATATGCTTTCCTGGACAATGACGCCATCCTCCTCAGCACTTCCCCTTTTCTCAGTATCCTCATGCTAATGTGTGTGGTCTCCATCAGCCACTCAAGGGAAGATGGTCTGTACTGTACTGTACTGTACTGTACTGTACAACCACTCAGACAGAAGAGAGGAACCAGGAGAATGGGAGAAAGCCAGTCCTTTTCAGGAGTTGAGACAGAACCCAAGGGCAGAGAAATGGACAGTGATATTTTCAAGCTAAAAGGTTACCTGAAGGTCACAGACTCAAGCAGTACTCTTCTCAGCTCTCAGACTGTGTGTGTGTGTGTGTGTGTGTGTGTGTGTGTGTGTGTGTGTGTGTGTGTGTGTGTGTGTGTGTGTGTGTGTGCGGCCAAAGCCCAAATTCGCTAACTCAGCAAGAATCCTTTAATTTGCAAAAATGTAACGCTCAAAACCACTGTCATATCTGCTATGTCACACTTTCTCAGGCATTTTTAGTCACAGTCATCCTCACAAGCTGTGTCCCGCAAAGCTTTGGGCCAGGCGCTCAGCTTTCACATTGTCAGGATTTCACAGACATCAGAGGAGTGGCCGGACGCCAAGACAACAGAAACACATCCTAACAGGACGAATGAACAGGAAGCCATTCTCAGCAATTCAATTCAAGCTTTATTGTTCCAGCAGGGAAATTAATTGTGGCATATTAGAAAGCATAAACTACCCCCACTGTCTGATGGACAACATTAAACATAATATAAACTGTGTACTGGCCTTGTGACAACACAGATTGTATACAATACTATTGTAGTTATATACCATTAGTTAATTAGTTGATGTAGATTTTAAGGTGTCTTCCATTGTGTTTTATGTGTTTCAGAATGGGATCACGCCCCTCCACGTTGCCTCCAAGCGTGGGAACACTAACATGGTGCGCCTCCTATTGGACAGGGGGTCTCAGATCGACGCTAAGACTAGGGTAAGTCCACACACACCCCCACACACACACACAAACACACACACAAACACACACACACACAACACACACACAAACACACACACACACACATACACACACATACATACAGTGCACTCAAAGAGTTCCTAAACCCAGAGGCGCAAAATCGCGAGACTTCCGGGAACGCTTGCGAAACAGACCAAACAGATCAGACCGGGGTTTGAGAAGTCAATGAGATAAGTGAAAAATTCTTCCTTAGTTGTTAATTTTCTTGAATTCTAAAGGCACGACCTAGATTCAAGCCAATGTCTTAAGTATTTGAACATCTTGTTACTCCAACCTTGTGAAAGTGAAAAACTGACACGTTTTCATTTTTGTCAAAAACAACCTTTGATTTGTGCCTTTGATTTGATGGCCTTCACATGCGCAGTTCGGCACGAGACGACCGTTAGACCCGATGACGTGTTTCTACGCATGAGCTTAGATAGCCAACGTCGCCATGACATCGCATGCAAGTGTGATCAGGGATTTCTATTGGAGAAGCAGTTTCTGCCTATGTTCATACTGTACTGTCTTTGGTACACACACACACATACACGCACACACACACACATACCGTTTGCCTGTCTGTCTGTCTGTGTGTGTGTGTGTGAGTCTGTGTGTGTGTGTGTGTGTGTGTGTGTATGAGTCTGTGTGTGTGTGTGTGTGTGTGTGTGTGTGTGTGTGTGTGTGTGTATTCTTACATTTGTGTACTGTATAGAGTACCAGTCAAAGGTTTGGACACACCTACTCATTCAAGGGTTTTTCTTTATTTTTACTATTTTCTACATTGTAGAATAATTGTGAAGACATCAAAACTATGAAATAACACATATGGAATCATGTAGTAGCCAAAAAAGTGTTAAACAAATCAAAATATATTTAAGATTCTTCAAAGTAGCCACCCTTTGCCTTGATGACAGCTTTGCACACTCTTGGCATTCTCTCAAACAGCTTTATGAGGAATGCTTTTCCAACAGTCTTGAAGGAGTTCCCACAGATGCTGAGCACTTGTTGGCTGCTTTTCCTTCACTCTGCGGTCCAACTCATCCCAAACCATCTCAATTGGGTTGAGATCGGGTGATTGTGGAGGCCAGGTCATCTGATGCAGCACTCCATCACTCTCCCTGGTCAAATAGCCCTTCCACAGCCTGGAGGTGTGTTTTGGGTCACTGTCCTGTTGAAAAACAAATGACAGTCCCACTAAGCGCAAACCAGATGGGATGGCGTATCGCTGCAGAATGCTGTGGTAGCCATGCTGGTTAAGTGTGCCTTGAATTCTAAATAAATCACAGACAGTGTCACCAGCAAAGCACCCCCACACCATCACACCTCCTCCTCCATGCTTCACGGTGGGAACCACACATGCGGAGATCATCCGTTCACCTACTCTGCGTCTCACAAAGACACGGAGGTTGGAACCAGAAATCTCAAATTTGGACTCATCAGACCAAAGGACAGATTTCGACCGGTCTAATGTCCATTGCTCGTGTTTCTTGGCCCAAGCAAGTATCTTCTTCTTATTGGTGTCCTTTAGTAGTGGTTTCTTTACAGCAATTCGACCATGATGGCCTGATTTACGCAGTCTCCTCTGATCAGTTGATGTTGAGATGTGTCTGTTACTTGAACTCTGTGAAGCATTTATTTGGGCTGCTATCTGAGGTGCAGTTAACTCTAATTAACTTATCCTCTGCAGCAGAGGTAACTCTGGGTCTTCCTGTCCTGTGGCAGTCCTCATGAGAGCCAGTTTCATCATAGCTCTTGATGTTTTTTGCGACTGCACTTGAAGAAACTTTCAAGAACCTTCAAGAATTTTCCGGATTGACTGACCTTCATGTCTTAAAGTAATGATGGATTGTCGTTTCTCTTTGCTTATTTGAGCTGTTCTTGCCATAATATGGACTTGGTCTTTTACCAAATAGGGCTATCTTCTGTCTACCTTGTCACAACACAACTGATTGGCTCAAACACATTAAGAAGGAAATAAATTCCACAAATTAACTTTTAAGAAGGCACACCTGTTAATTGAAATGCACATTAGGTGACTACCTCATGAAACTGGTGGAGAGAATGCCAAGAGTGTGCAAAGCCGTCATCAAGGCAAAGGGTGGCTACTTTGAAGAATCTCAAATATAAAATATTTTTTGATTTGTTCAACACTTTTGTGGTGACTACATGATTGTTATTTCATAGTTTTGATGTCTTCACTATTATTCTACAATGTAGAAAATAGTAAAAATAAAGAAAAACCCTTGAATGAGTAGGTGTGTCCAAACTTTTGACTGGTACTGTAAGTAAGTGTGCCCACTGTTCATACTGTATGTGGGTGTGGGGTGTGTTGATCAGTACGAGAGAGGGTCAGTAAGTGTGTATGTGGGTGTGGGGTGTGTTGATCAGTACGAGAGAGGGTCTGTGAGTGTGTATGTGGGTGTGGGGTGTGTTGATCAGTACGAGAGAGGGTCAGTGAATGTGTATGTGGGTGTGGGGTGTGTTGATCAGTACAAGAGAGGGTCAGTGAATGTGTACTGCATAGCTGGTGGATGTGTGTGTGAGTGAGAGCTGCAGATCAATGTAGTTACAGCTAGCTCACTAGAGAATAACTTGTTGAGTCTTAAAGCCCTCCATTTTCACCCGCTGTTATTCCTGGTCCGTTTTGCTGCTCAGTTTACTGCATTAATTTAGGGCAAAAATGCAACCACTCCTTCTTCCTTCTCTCAAATCACTCCATCACTATACTTCCCTCAGGTAGCCTGACAATCAACCAATCTTTCGTGTCAGAAAATGTCCTGTGCCATTGATATTTATGTGTCCATTACCAAGGTATTAAATCATATTATACAATGGCTGGGTCTAATCCTGAATGCTGATTGGTTAAAATCGCATTCCAGCTGGTGTCTATTCCACAAGTTACCAACAGCTAAATATATGACATTAAAATGCCTATTTACTCTGTTCTATCAGCCCAGCAAAGCAATTTATAAACTTGATCTCCACTATAAAAAGCATCTAGACATTATCTCACATTTCTTTTAGACTAACATTTTGTTTTCAACAGCGGAGATTTGTATAAACCTTGCTGTATGTCTCTCCGACATTTGCAACATTGTTTCAATATTCAAATTCGATCTCCAGCTGTCCCATAGTAATGAACGTGTCAGGAGTCGGGACGAGACAGACAGGCAGGCAGCGTTTCTCAGCCAGTCGAAATCATGAATCAGCTGGCATCATTTTTATGGATATATACAAAGAAATGTCAATTGAAAAAAGGTAAAAATAAACGAAGTGCAGCTAGTTTGTAGTCTTTCCAGCTTCAGTTTGAAATGATTGTGTTAGCTGTGTTGTTGTCTAACTCCTCTGAACAACAGTGTCCTGACGAGAGAGCACATTTTCTATGCCAGGTGAAATCGCACCTCATTAGCTCATTGTTATGGATGTACCCAAATAAATGTCACAAGAAAACAGCTTAAACAAATGCAAATGCAGCTACTTTACTGTTATTCTGGGTGCACTGTTTGACGTGACTGTAAGTTAGCCGTAGCTCGCTAGCAAGCAAGGGATAAGAACATTGCCAGCCAGTATGGCAATGGAACATTTAGAACCAATGACATAGATACAGAACAAAAAGACTGAAAGACTGGGTCGCGTCTCTGGCAACCGAACCGATAGAACGAACGACCAGCCGGCTTGGGTAGCAACCCAAGATTTGTGTCGTGACTGTATCTTGTGGAAGGATGAATTAGTATGAACAAATTAATCCAAATAAAGTTTTTAATGAAAATATGTCAATCATTATTTGAATATGTTGGTAACCCGTTGTATAAAAGTAATAATGCCCTCGAAGCCGGTGTTTTAAAGATATATTGGCACGGTTTGCCGGACCTCGACTTCGTCTCGGGCCTAACAACTCCCGTGCCAATATATCCTCCAAACACCGGCTTCTCGGGCATTATCACTTCAATATCATTGTAATGTCCACAGTTAATGTAAATATTGCATAGAAAGATTAGAGCCTAATGTCACTATAACGTCCAATTAACGTCAGATACCAGCAGTACTCTTCCGGTCAATGCATTACAGCACCCATTTAGGCCTTTAATATACTATACATCCATATATCATATTACATGTCCAGAGTTAATGTTTGATTTGATATCATAGGTGGATTATGTAATTAAAACGAACATAGTATCATCATGTTGGCATAGAGTCAATGTAAAATAATGGCAAAAAAATCAACATTAGGGGATGCCGCCTAGTGTATAGCACAGCTGTGTTATTGCAACGGTTGGGTCAGTGTGGGACAGGGTATCAGTTATCACAAACTCCAGGATAATATTCTAGTAAAACAGTCTGTTTAATCACCACCATAACTCCAGTATAATATTCTAGTAAAACAGTCTGTTAATCACATCGTAACTCCAGTTTATATTCTAGTTAAAAACTGTCATCAAACTCCAGATAATATTCTAGTAAAACAGTCTGTTTAATCACACATATAAAACTCAGTTTAATAATATCCATATAGTTTAAAACAGTCTGTTTAATCACCATCATAACTCCAGTATAATATTCTAGTAAAACAGTCTGTTTAATCACCATCATAACTCCAGTATAATATTCTAGTAAAACAGTCTGTTTAATCACCATCATAACTCCAGTATAATATTCTAGTAAAACAGTCTGTTTAATCAGGAAAACATCTGTACTTCCTGGCAGATTGGATAAAAGAATAAAGCCTGTGTGTGTTTACTTATAAACAACCTCCACAGCAACAACAACAACAACAACAACAACAACAACAACAACAACAACAACTAAAGCCTTATGAAACCCTCACGTAACAGCAGGTCCGTCCTCATGTTTTATTACACAGCTGATTTGAGGGATACAGGGGACGTTTTGTCTGTTTGATTTTCTTTAGTTTGACATGGTAATGTATTTAATTAAGCCATTGGTCCACAGATAGACGTCTACCAAGATACTCAGGGGACTGGAGTAATGTAAGTCCACTGTGGATCAATGAGCTTCAGTCTGCAGTTTATTCACCAGGGAATGGAACCATAGCCCCTTAGATGGACATGTCATAAGTGCTGTGACCTGATCAATACTCTGCTACCACTGGTGACCTTGAACCATGTGTGTGTGTGTTCATGCGAGGATGGGGGTTTGTTTTATGTGTGTGTGTGTGTGCGTGCATGTGTGTTTTGTATGCCCTGTGTGTATCACAGGAGGTTGGTGTCACCTTAATTGGGGAGGATGGGTTTGTGGTAATGTCTGGAACGGAATAAGTGGAATGGTATCAAATACATCAACACATGGTTTCTATCAGAACTCCAGTATAATATTCTAGTAAAACAGTCTGTTTAATCACCATCATAACTCCAGTATAATATTCTAGTAAAACAATCTGTTTAATCACCATCATAACTCCAGTATAATATTCTAGTAAAACAGTCTGTTTAATCACCATCATAACTCCAGTATAATATTCTAGTAAAACAATCTGTTTAATCACCATCATAACTCCCAGTATAATATTCTAGGTAAAACATCTGGTTTTCCATCAGACGCCATATATTCTAGTAACATCTGTTAATCAACATCATGAATCCAGTATCAATATTCTAGTAAACTGCTGGTTTAATCACCACAAACTCGCAGAAATTCTATAAACACTCTGTTTAATCACCATCATACCCAGTATAAATTCTAGTAAACAGCTGTAATCACCATCAAACTCCAGTATAATATTCTAGTAAAACATCGTTTAATCACCATCATAACTCCAGTAATATTCTGTAAAACATCGTTAATCACCACATAACTCCAGTATAATATTCTAGTAAAACAGCGTTTATCACCATCATAACTCCAATAATATTCAGTAAAACATCTGTTAATCAGCATCAAACTCCATAAATCTAGTAAAACAGTCTGTTTAATCAGGAAAACATCTGTACTTCCTGGCAGATTGGATAAAAGAATAAAGCCTGTGTGTGTTTGGTCGCAGTGGTCTAAGGCACTGCATCGCAGTGCTAACTGTGCCACTAGAGATCCTGGTTCGAATCCAGGCTCTGTCGCAGCCGGCCGCGACCGGGAGACTCATGGGCGGCGCACAATTGGCCCAGCATCGTCCAGGGTAGGGGAGGGAATGGCCGGCAGGGATGTAGCTCAGTTGATAGAGCATGGCGTTTGCAACGCCAGGGTTGTGGGTTCGACTCCCACGGGGGGCCAGTATAAAAAATAAATAAAAAATATGTATTCACTAACTGTAAGTCGCTCTGGATAAGAGCGTCTGCTAAATGACTAAAATGTAAATGTAATGTAAATGTAAACAACCTCCACAACAACAACAACAGCAGCAGCCTCCACTTGTGTGAATGAACCTTATAGATCTGTGTGTATTTGTATTTGTTTAATGATGACCATCTGTGTGTGTGTTGTCTACAGGACGGCCTCACACCTCTACACTGTGCCGCCAGGAGTGGACATGACCCAGCAGTGGAGCTACTGCTGGAGAGAGGAGCACCCATGCTGGCCAGGACCAAGGTACACACACACACACACACACACACGGACACACACACACACGGACACACATGGACACACACACACACACACACACACACACACGGACACACATGGACGGACACACATGGACACACACAAACTCACACACACACACACACACACACACACACACGCACACACATGGACACACACACACACACACACACACACACACACACACGGACACACATGGACGGACACACATGGACACACACAAACTCACACACACACACACACACACACACACACACGGACACACACACACACACACACAGACACACACACACACGGACACACATGGATGGACACACACTCACACACACTCACACACACACACACACACACACACCAACACAAGCATGGATACACACACATGCACACATAGACTCCCTCTCTCTGACCATCTTCTCTCTCCCTGTAGAACGGTCTGTCTCCTCTACACATGTCGTCTCAGGGTGACCACGTTGAGTGTGTCAAGCACCTGCTGCAGCACAAGGCGCCTGTTGATGATGTCACATTGGACTACCTGACGGCGCTGCACGTCGCCGCCCACTGCGGTCACTACAGAGTCACCAAGCTGCTGCTGGACAAGCGGGCCAACCCCAACGCTAGAGCACTGGTACTACTCACTAATACAATGACTTTCATTACAAGGACCAGTACTACAGGTCCTTGTAATGTCTCTAAGAGACAGAACAAAGTGTGGCGTGAGAATAAGATGGCCTCTCATGTATGTCTCAACATGTCAACATGTCCCTACATGTGTATGTAGGTGTGTTTCATACATCATGTGTCTGGTGTGTGTGTCTGTCAGAACGGCTTCACTCCGCTGCACATCGCCTGTAAGAAGAACAGAGTGAAGGTGATGGAGCTGCTGGTCAAGTATGGAGCATCTATCCAGGCCATCACAGAGGTAAGTCTGGCCAGTTCAGATAGAAGAGTTTTTGGTTACACCAGATTACACAATATACACACAATTACAGCTACACCAGATTACACAATATACACACAATTACAGCTACACCAGATTACACAATATACACACAATTACAGCTACACCAGATTACACAATATACACACAATTACAGCTACACCAGATTACACAATATACACACATTACAGCTACACCATTACACAATATACACACAAATTACAGCTACACCAGATTACATACAAATATACACACAATTTAACAGCCTACAACCAGATTACACAATATACAACACAATTAACAGCCTACCCAGATTACACCAATATACACCACAATCTACAGCTACACCAGATTACCCAATAATACAACAATTACAGCACACCAGATTACACAATATACAACCAATTACAGCTACAACACCAGATTACACAATATACACACAATTACAGCTACAACAACCAGATTACCAAATTATAACACACAAATACAAGCTACACCAGATTACACAATAACACACAAAACAGCTACACCCAGATTAAATAACAACCACAAATAAAGTACACCAGATTATACACACAAATACAGCTACACCAGATTACACAATATACACACAATTACAGCTACACCAGATTACACAATATACACACAAATACAGCTACACCAGATTACACAATATACACACAAATACAGCTACACCAGATTACACAATATACACACAAATACAGCTACACCAGATTACACAATATACACACAAATACAGCTACACCAGATTACACAATATACCATGCAACCACACACTCCTTTACTCTTCAACACTGTTGATGTACAGTCCCAGTGACTTGTGTTTTGACCAGAACTGGCTTCACGTGCATGAACGGTAATGATACTTTATAATGATGAAAACTCTCTCCCCTCCCTCCATCCAGTCTGGCCTGACTCCCGTCCACGTAGCTGCCTTCATGGGTCACCTCAACATCGTCCTGCTGCTACTGCAGAACGGAGCCTCGCCTGACGTCAGCAACATTGTGAGTGATGGGGGTTAACGTCATGACAACGACAATGACATGGACAGTGGGTGTACGTGTATGTGCATTAATGGGTGTTTGTGCTGTCTCAGGGTGTCTCGTGTGTGTATGAGGGTGTGCCCGTACACGTGTGTGTGTGTGTGTGTGTGTGTCTGTATCTCTGCGTGTGTGTTTTTGTGTTTCTTCTGATTCACGTGTGTGTTCTGTGCAGCGTGGGGAGACTGCTCTACACATGGCGTCCAGGGCAGGACAGGTGGAGGTGGTGCGCTGTCTGCTGAGGAACGGCGCCATGGTGGACGCCAGAGCCAGGGTGAGACACATTATCACACACTACACACAACTCACCACTCCACTCCCACTTAGTACTAGTACTCACCGCTCCACTCCCACTTAGTACTAGTACTCACCGCTCCACTCCCACTTAGTACTAGTACTCACCACTCCACTCCCACTTAGTACTAGTACTCACCGCTCCACTCCCACTTAGTACTAGTACTCACCGCTCCACTCCCACTTAGTACTAGTACTCACCGCTCCACTCCCACTTAGTACTAGTACTCACCGCTCCACTCCCACTTAGTACTAGTACTCACCGCTCCACTCCCACTTAGTACTAGTACTCACCACTCCACTCCCACTTAGTACTAGTACTCACCACTCCACTCCCACTTAGTACTAGTACTCACCACTCCACTCCCACTTAGTACTAGTACTCACCACTCCTCTCGTGCCAAAAGTCTATCTCACTTATTTTACTTTATAAAACAATGTTCACTCAATAGACCTAGGTTGGAAGTTGATAAAATATTTTGGTACAGTCAGATTAGAGTCTTCTCTTTTAAGCAGGAGCCAATTTCTTTCCAATTTCCTGTTTTTTCCCGCAATTATATTTGAAATATTGCGAAAGGCTTGTTCTGGCTGCATGCTTTTCACTGACAGATTTTCAGCGCGTTACCAGGCTATATGCCTTGTGATTGGGCTACACACAATCCACAGAAAGGCAATTTTTTAAAAGAAGCTATTGGTCCTCTGTGGCTAAATTATAGGCCTACTCATGGAGCAGTATTCTAAATTATTTAATTTCTTTCTGAACAGACAGCAGTGATTCTATAACTTTGGCAAATATATTTCAATTAATCAGGGTTGCTGCAGCTCCTCCAGCACCCTTCCTGTGGCGATGATTCTATAAGGAAATAAATGATGAAGTGCAACGCTGGAGAGAGGAGAGTTGCAGGCTCATTTCTATCAGAGCAGAGAGAGGGAGAGAGATCATAGAAAGTGAATCTCATTCTAGATCTGAGAGATATAAAGGCGGCCTCTCTCTCACCACAACAATAAGCCCGGGCAGGCCCAACACAAATATCAGGCACGGGCTGAAAAACGATGTTTTCACATTGCATTTTTTTTTAGAGGGCAGGAGAATTAATGAGGAAGCAACTCGAATAAACTCTGATCACTTTTATTAGCATTTTTACATTGGAAACAGTGATTTTCTTCTCATGTAGAGGTAAAAATAGGTTCCGGAACGAAACAGTCCAACACGGGGAGGAGCCGGATACTGTTCCGGCAGGATCCGGCTCAAATTAAGCTTTTGCTTCACTCTCACTTAGTACTAGGCAGTTAACAGCAAATTCTTCCTGTAAGCAAATTGCCCCTCAGGGATAATAAAGATCCTCTCCTCTCCTCTCCTCTCCTCTCCTCTCCTCTCCTCTCCGCTCCTCCTCCTCTCCTCTCCTCTCCCTCCTCGCCTCTCCTCTCCTCTCCTCTCCTCTCTCTCCTCCCCCTCTCCTCTACTCACTCTCTCTATTCACTTCACTTCACTTCAACTTCACCTTCACTTCTTCCTCTCCTCTCCTTCTCCCTCCTCGCCTCTCCTCTCCTCTCCTCGTCCTCTCCTTCTCCTCTCCTCCTCTCCCCCTCTTCCCTCTCCTCTCCTCTCCTCTCCTCTCCCTCCTCTACTTCACTTCCCTTCACTCTCCTCAATCATTCCTCTCCTCTCCTCTCCTCTCCTCTCCTCTCTCGCTTCGCCTCTCCTCTCCTCCTCTCCTCTCGCTCGCCGCTCCTCTCCTCTCACTTCGACTTCAACTTCACTGCACTTCACCTCCTCCTCTCCTCTCCTCCTCCTCTCCTCTCCGTCTCCTCTCCTCTCCTCTCCTCTCCTCTCCTCTACTTCACTTCACTTCACTTCACTTCACTTCACTTCACTTCACTTCACTTCTCCTCTCCTCTCCTCTCCTCTCCTCCTCCTCTCCTCTCCTCTCCTCTCCTCTCGCTCTCCTCTCCTCTCCTCTCCTCTCCTCTCCTGCTCCTCTCCTCTCCTCTCCTCTCCTCTCCTCTCCTCTACTCTACTCTACTCTACTCTACTCTACTCTACTCTACTCTACTCTACTCTATTGTACTCCAAGAAAGCACCAAAATAATGAAGTACCCATTATCACCACATATAGTAACTTCATGAAAGCGGGGCTGTAAAATAAAGCATTACTACCCTCATTAAACTTCAAGTACCTTAAAAGTAATATCACCCATAGCCTCTATCTCTCTATGTACGTCTGTAATAAAATACATATTCTACCACATATAACCTCCATGTCTCTACCCCCTCCAGGAGGACCAGACACCCCTCCACATTGCATCTCGTCTGGGGAAGACTGAGATAGTCCAGCTGCTACTGCAGCATATGGCCCACCCTGACGCCTCCACGACTAACGGATACACACCTCTCCACATCTCAGCCAGGGAGGGACAGGTGGACGTGGCTTCAGTACTGCTGGAGGCAGGCGCCTCACACTCACTGGCTACTAAGGTGGGTAGAGATAATACATGTGTAGGCGCACACACACTCACACACACCTACACACTCACACACACCTACATTTCTTCGCCTAAGCACAAGCACACATACACGCATACACGCACACACACACACACACACACACACACACACACACACATACACACATTCACACATACACACACACCTGTACATCTTGGTGCGGTTTTTGTGGAGATGTTTTTATGGATGGATTCCATCCCCTTAATTCTGTGTGGATTATAAAAGAAATACATCTTGATTCGCTGTATGGCCTGTTTCACAGGCACAGACTATGGGTCACTGTCAGTGTGACCTGGCTTATTCTGGTTTAATCAATTCATGATTTATGATGCTTTGGAGAACCCCTGGCTTCTTCTCCTGAATTTTGCAAAAACACATTGACTTTTGTCACTGAAGGATATTCAACATCCACTGACACAACGATATATCAGTGCTAATTTATTCATATGCTCTGGGTTCTGAGGTTTATGATGCAGTAAAATTCACCCATCTCTCTCTCTCGCACCCCCCCCCCCCCCCCCCCCCTCTCTCTCTCTCTCTCTCTCTCTCTCTCTCTCTCTCTCTCTCTCTGTCTCTGTCTCTGTCTTCCCTTCCCCCTCTTCTCCTTGTCTCATGGGGAAAAACAGGTGTGGCATTGTTAGCATGAAAAACAGGACAGGGACAGCGGTTTGCCCGTTGAACAACATCTTCCTAGATATGCTCCTCTCTACCTCTGTCCCCAATCACCTGTGTTTGATCTGTTAGATGGGTGACGTTTTACACCCTATAGATTCTAATCTTTATCTTCTGTTTTTCACAACGTTAGTGCCTCTCATTCTCTTCTTATCTACACATTGTTTCTAATTGGATGTGTATTACATCAGAAATGAACCAGCGTTACACAGACAAAGGATTCCCTCCCTTCATGGGTTGGGTCGTAAACAAGGGAGTCATGTGACATGGGAGCGGCGCTGTCGTCCTATCACAACAGCCCAATGTGACAATGGCTAAAGACCACCACCTGGTGGCTGCGTTGGTACTAGGTATTGCTGATCAGAAGGAAAGGCAGGTTTTGCTCTGTAAATTGGATTTTGGGTATTACCTACGATGGCATAAGCAATGTGGGTGAACAGAGATTTGTTGTTATTGTGCATCTTGTGAAATTGCATTATGTTTGGTTCACATACATCATTAGTTGGCAGTGAATTTCTGATCCCTTTGGAAAGGACGCTGTTATGAAATTATTGCTTTTGAATATACAAAACATCTGCTCTTTCCATGACATAGACTGACCAGGTGAATCCAGGTGAAAGCTATGATCCCTTAATGATGTCACTTGTTGAATCCACTTCAATCAGTGTAGATGAAGGGGAGGAGACAGGTTAAAGAAGGATTTTAAGTGCCTTTGAACAGGGTATGGTAGTAGGTGCCAGGAGCACCGGTTTATGTCAAGAACTGCAACGCTGCTGGGTTTTTTCACGCTCAACAGTGTGTATAAAGAATGGTCCACCACCCAACTTTTATTCATTTTAGTTGACGTTTTTATCCAGATCGACTTACAGTTAGTGAGTGCATATATTATTATTATTTTTATTTATTTATTTATATTTATATTTATACAACTGTGGGAAGCATTGGAGTCAACATGGGCCAGCAGCCCTGTGGAACACTTTAAACAGCTTGTAGAGTCCGTGCCCCGACGAATTGAAGTTGTTCTGAGGGCAAAAGGGGGTGCAACTCAATATTAGGAAGGTGTTCCTAATGTTTTGTACACTCAGTGTATTCCACATTTATGAAGATATAGATAGTGTTTGTTTCAATCATTATTAAATGGTCATCTGTATGTTGTCTCCATACAGAAAGGATTCACTCCCTTGCATGTGGCATCCAAGTACGGAAGCCTGGATGTGGCCAAACTTCTCCTGAAAAAAACAGCTCCTCCTGATTCTGCTGGGAAGGTAAGCATCATTACCATAAAACTCAAACACTTAATCATAGTATAGTTTTGTAACAGAGGGAGAAATAACTAAACAGTAGAAAAGTATATTTCTCACAAGGTGTGTTATATTTTCACAATATCAGACAATGCTCTGACCTTGAAGTATTGTTACATGATGAGGAATAGTCTGATGAGGAATTATCTGATGAGGAATTATCTGATGAAGAATAGTCTGATGAGGAATAGTCTAATGAGGAATTATCTGATGAGGAATAGTCTGATGAGGAATAGTCTGGTAAGGAATTATCTGATGAGGAATAGTCTGATAAGGAATTATTTGATGAGGAATAGTCTGATGAGGAATTATCTGATGAGGAATTATCTGGCTATATTTTTAAAAAGTCTGTTGTTATTTCTGGTTGAGGCTATGTTGTCAGCTAGACTCCCGGAAGCATAGTTTGATTAAATCAACTTTCAGTTTGATTAACTGCTGTTTATTCCTCTACTTTTAGGAAAGACAGATAACATATATATATTTTTTCTTATTATTCTTTTTGAATAAGGACCCACCCAGCGAGCCTCCTGCTGCTTGCTCTTTAATATAAGCCTAATTGTCCATAACATGCTGTAATAGTACCACTATAACTCAGCTTATTTATCATGTGTCGTGTGTGTTGACCAGTGTTCTTAATGGCTGCTTGCTCTGCTAACCAGCCTGGTTTAATCCAATCTGCACTCACCTCGTCATCCTTGCAGAACGGCCTCACACCTCTCCATGTAGCAGCACATTACGATAACCAGAAGGTGGCGCTCCTGCTTTTGGACAAAGGGGCCTCGCCCCACGCCACAGCCAAGGTGAGACCTCCATGAGGCCACTCTGGCACTCTCCCCAAACATGTGGGGGGAGAGACGTCGGTCAGCCTTGGGGTGGACAGTCAATGTGGTATTGAAGCTGTGTGCGTGTGTGTGTGTGTGTGTGTGTGTGTGTGTGTGTGTGTGTGTGTGTGTGTGTGTGTGTGTGTGTGTGTGTGTGTGTGCATTTGTGTGTGGGTGTGCGTTTGTGTGTGGTGTGTATGTGGTGTGCGTGTGCGTTTGTGTGTGTACGTTTGTGTGTGTGCATGCATGTGTGAGTGCATGCATCTCTCTCTCTCTCTCTCTCTCTCTCTCTCTCTCTCTCTCTCTCTCTCTCTCTCTCTCTCTCACACTCTCTCTCCCTCCCTCCAGAACGGCTACACCCCCCTCCACATTGCGGCCAAGAAGAACCAGATGGACATAGCGGTGGTGCTGCTGCAGTACGGGGCGGAGACCAACATCCTGACCAAGCAGGGGGTCACCCCTCTACACCTGGCCTCACAGGAGGGACACGCTGACATGGCCGCCCTGCTCATCGAGAAGGGGACTCAAGTCAACGTCCCCACCAAGGTAGGCCTACATCTTCCCACCCCTCTTGGTTTTAAACTGCTTATGTAACACAAATACAGACTCAACCTGTATTACAAACACAGACATGCACACACACTCACAGGAACACATAGGCACGTGACAAAATAACACACGTGCATATTCAGGCAACATTTTATTTCAAAATAAAAGTATATTGTACAATGGAAACATGTACTTTTGTTTGCATCTTACCCAATCCTATGACACACCAAACACAGAACAGGCTTGGAGCAGAACAGGGTCAGCCTTGCCCTTGTAGCAGTTAAGGGGCAAAGTGCCTTACTCATGGCCACTAAGGCAGTAGGGGATAGCACCTGAAAGGCAAAAGGGGATAGCACCTGAAAGGCAGTAGGGGATAGCACCTGAAAGGCAGTAGGGGATAGCACCTGAAAGGCAGAAGGGATAGCACCTGAAAGGCAGTAGGGGATAGCACTTGAAAGGCAGTAGGGGATAGCACCTGAAAGGCAGAAGGGATAGCACCTGAAAGACAGAAGGGGATAGAACCTGAAAGGCAGTAGGGGATGGTACCTGAAAGGCAGTAGGGGATAGCACCTGAAAGGCAGTAGGGGGTAGCACCTGAAAGGCAGTAGGGGATAGCACCTGAAAGGCAGAAGGGATAGCACCTGAAAGGCAGAAGGGATAGCACCTGAAAGGCAGTAGGGGATAGCACCTGAAAGGCAGTAGGGGAGGGCACCTGAAAGGCAGTAGGGGATAGCACCTGAAAGGCAGAAGGGATAGCACCTGAAAGGCAGTAGGGGATAGCACCTGAAAGGCAGTAGGGGATAGCACCTGAAAGGCAGAAGGGATAGCACCTGAAAGGCAGTAGGAGATAGCACCTGAAAGGCAGTAGGGGATAGCACCTGAAAGGCAGTAGGGGATAGCACCTGAAAGGCAGTAGGGGGTAGCACCTGAAAGGCAGAAGGGGATAGCACCTGAAAGGCAGAAGGGATAGCACCTGAAAGGCAGAAGGGATAGCACCTGAAAGGCAGAAGGGGATAGTACCTGAAAGGCAGTAAGGGATAGCACCAGAAAGGCAGAAGGGATAGCACCTGAAAGGCAGAAGGGGATAGCACCTGAAAGGCAGAAGGGATAGCACCTGAAAGGCAGAAGGGATAGCACCTGAAAGGCAGAAGGGATAGCACCTGAAAGGCAGAAGGGATAGCACCTGAAAGGCAGTAGGGGATAGCACCTGAAAGGCAGTAGGGGATAGCACCTGAAAGGCAGTAGGGGATAGCACCTGAAAGGCAGAAGGGGATAGCACCTGAAAGGCAGAAGGGATAGCACCTGAAAGGCAGAAGGGATAGCACCTGAAAGGCAGAAGGGATAGCACCTGAAAGGCAGAAGGGGTAGCACCTGAAAGGCAGAAGGGGATAGCACCTGAAAAGTGATGTAGGTGTAATTAAACTTGTCTGAGACCTAATGATTTGTGTAAGCTCCCTGCGCTTATGCCTACGTTTAATCTTAGCGGGGTAACATTATTGTGGCCTGCAGGAGACCTAGGTTAGACAACAGTCTGTCCCATTGGTGCCATGACCTGGATAGGTGTCTGTTAGGAGGTGAAATGGGTGGTGGAGTGTAACGAAAGTGGATCTGTAAACCATGCTTGAAGATATATTTGAGGCTATACATTGTTTGGAGTATGGAGTAAAACAATCTTATATTATGATGGGGTAAAACAATCTTATATTATGATGGGGTAAGACCAAGCTTTGTAAGAAATGAAGCAGGTGGTCCACTGTTGCTCAATTGGTAGAGCATGGCGCTTGTAACGCCTGGGTAGTGGGTTCAATCCCCGGGACCACCTATATGTAAAAATGTATGCGCACATGACTGTAAGTCGCTTTGGATAAAAGCGTCTGCTAAATGGCATATTATTAGATAAATAAGTTATATTGTTCAATAACATTCAAAATCACCTTTATTTGCAAAGGATATATATATCGACAAATAATTTAGGAATCCACACACTATAAACAGCAAAAAACAGAATACATGCATTCATTGAGATGAACATTGAACAGCAGTAACCCAGCAAACAGGGGTTTGTCCTGAGGACATTCTGCAATGTTCTCATTACTGTAGGTCCATGAAGGGTTTCGGCGCGACTTTATCCATCTGACGTTCCGAGAACGTTCTCAGGGGGACCTTTGTCTAGTTCCCTGTAAGTTCCCAGGACGTCACTGAGGACCATGTCAGGACCTTTTTAGGACTTTTTCCATGATGTTCATTTTACTAGTCCTTAGGATGTTGCATGATGCTCCCAAGGGAACTTTCTCTGGGGGACCTTTTTCTAGTACCCAGTTTTCCCAGGGGCATTCCCCGAAGATGTTTTTAGGACGTTCTTGGGACGTTGTGTCATGGTCCCCTGGAGGTATTGTCTAGTTCCCGGTTTGTCCTGGCAATGTTCCTGAGGATGTTTTTATGACGTTCTTGGGATGTTGTGTCATGGTCCCCTGGGGTCCGACACATAACGAAAAAGACAGAACAGACAAAATACTTTACAATTTACATACATTTAAAAAAATATTAACGTGTGTGTGTGTGTGTGTGTCTGTGTGTGTGTGTGTGCATCTATCAGTTACACATAAACATACACACAAAACGTAGGTCACAGCATTGAGCCTTGGGGTGTTGCTTTTTTTGTTTTTTTGAAACCAGGTTTGCTGTTCACTTGCGCTATATGAGATGGAAGGGAGTTCCATGCAATCATGGCTCTGTATAATATTGTATGTTTCCTTGAATTTGTTCTGGACCTGGGGACTGTGAAAAGAACCCTGGTGGCATGTCTGGTGGAGTAAGTGGCTGTGTCAGTGCTGTGTGGAAGTTGACTATGCCAACAATTTGGAATTTCCAACACATTGTTTCTTATAAAAACAAGAAGCGATGCAGTCAGTCTTTCCTCAACTTAGCCAAGAGAGACTGGCATGCATAGTATTGATATTAGCTCTCTGATTACAATGAAGAGCAAAACGTGCAGCTCTATTCTGGGCCAGCTGCAGCTTAACTAGGTATTTCTTTGTAGCACTTGACCATATGACTGGACAATAATCAAGGTAAGATTAAACTAGAGGCTGCAGGACTTGCTTTGTGGAGTGTGGTGTCAAAAAAGCAGAGCATCTCTTTATTACGGACAGTCCTCTCCCCATCTTTACAACCATTGTATCTATATGTTTTGACCATGACAGTTTACAATCTAAGGTAAAGCCAAGTAATTTAATATCCTCAACTTGTTCAACAGCCACACCATTCATTACCAGATTCAGCTGAGGTCTAGAACAGGGAATGATTTGTACCAAATACAGTGCTTTTAGTTTGATAAATATTCAGGACCAGTTTATTACTGGCCACCCATTCTTAAACTGACTGCAACTCTTTGTTTAGGGTTACAGTGATTTCACTAGCTTTTGTTGCTGACACGTATAGGGTTAAATCATCAGCATACATGGACACAGGTTTTGTTTAATGCCAGTGGCAGGTCATTGGTAAAAATAGAAAAGAGTAGAGGGCCAAGAGAGCAGCCCTGAATACACCACACTTTACGTTTAACATTAGAGAAGGTTCCATTAACAAAAACCCTCAGTGTTCTATTAGATAGATAGCTCTGAATCCATGATATGGCAGAGGTTGAAAAGCCATATCACATACGTTTTTTCAACAACAGGTTATGGTCAATAATATCAAAGGCTGCGCTAAAATCTAACAGTACAGCTCCCACAATCTTCTTATTATCAATTTCCTTCAACCAATCATCAGTCATTTGTGTCAGTGCAGTACATGTTGAGTGCCCTTCTCTATAAGCATGCTGAAAGTCTGTTGTTAATTAATTTACAGAGAAATAGCATTGTATTTGGTCACACACAATTTTTTCCAACGGTCTGTCAGCAAGCTGATAGTTCAGCTGTTAGAACCAGTAAAGGCCGCTTTACCATTCTATGGTAGCGGAATGACTTTGGCTTCCCTCCAGGCCTGAGTACAAAGACTTTCCTCTAGGCTCAGATTAAAGATATGACAGATAGGAGTGGCTATAGTCAGCTACCATCCTCAGTAGCTTTCCATCTAAGTTGTCAATGCCAGGAGGTTTGTCATTATTGATCGACAACAATCATTTTTCCACCTCTCCCACACTAACTTTACTAAATTCAAACTTGCAATGCTTTTCTTTCATTATTCGTTTTTTCATGCATGAGTACGATGGTCACTGTTCGTTGTTGGCATTTCCTGCCTAAGTTTGCTCACTCTGCCAATGAGGTAATCATTAAAATAATTGGCAACATCAAATGGTTTTGTGATGAATAAGCCATCTGATTCGATGAAAGATGGAGTTGAATTTGTTTCTGCCCGTAATTTTATTTAAAGTACTCCAAACTTTTTTTCCATCATTCTTTATATCATTGATCTTGGCTTCATAATACAGTTTCCCTCATCTTTTTGTTGAGTTTAGTCACATAATTTCTAAATTTGCAGTAAGTCAACCAGTCAGATGTGCAGCCAGACTTATTAGCCACTCCTTTTGCCCCATCTCTTTCAACCATACAGTTTTTCAATTCCTCATCAATCCATGGAGCCTTAACAGTTCTAACAGTCCGTTTCATAACAGGTGCATGTTTATTAATAATTGGAAGAAGCAAAGTCATCAAGTGCGGAGTCAAGATGCTCCTTATTAGTCACATCAGACCAACAAATATTTTTAACATCATCCACATAAGAGTCACAGCAAATTATTTTGCATGATCTCTTATACACCAGCTTTTGGAACTTTGGCTTTCCTGGATATAGTGGCTATATCCAGGAAAGCCAAAGTTCCAAAAGCTGGTGTATAAGAGATCATGCAAAATAATTTGCTGTGACTCTTATGTGGATGATGTTAAAAATATGTGATCAATGCATTCAAGGGGTATGGATACATCTTTAGGACAAAGTTCTACAGTAGTAATACAAATGTGATCAATACATGTGGATGATGTAGTTCCTGTATTATTTGTAAACACCCTGGTAGGTTGATTAAAAACCTGAACCAGATTACAGGC